TAGTGGGGTTTTGAGCTGCTTTTACAGATTAAAGGGAGAAAATAAATGTGCATTTCCCCCCCAGAAAAAATCTGAAATATATTTATTTTAATTGAAATGGAACTAAAGAGTCTAGGTTGGCGAGGGGGAGGAATAAGATAAATCTGATGAAGAACATCTTCATAAACACAATCAACGGAGAGAGAGCTTTGTGGAGACACTCCTGTGGAGTTAAAGGCTTCTTTGGGTGAAACACAGGATGAAGGGAATCATCTTTTCAACATGCTTTAGAGCATCCCGTGAGCAATGCATTTCTAGTTAGAGATTTAAGATTTCTGTCCAACAAAGTTGGCTGCATACCCTTGTTCAGTAAAACAGCTAAGCATATGTGGAATTTTAAGAACACGCTCATGTGATGTCTGTGTAGGAATGTTTTCTTAAGGCTAGGAACTCATTTTATACTTCAGAAAATTGACATTAAAAATCATAGCCAAAATAATTACCATTAGCTACTAGTTTATTTGGGAGGATTAGTTTTGTGCATCTGTCTGAAACATCAAGAAATCTTTTGCTTAAGCAACTGAAGGTCATGTCCATGACAATAACTTTACAGGGATTTTTAAAGTAATTTTTCTCGTTTGCTTTTTTTTTTCTTTGTAAAGAAGCTTGAGACGAAAAGCAATTGTTTGAGTACGCTCTCTGCTGCAACAGTACTTTAAGAAGTTCTTACTTAAATGATTATTATGTTGACCAATTTCACAAGCTTAGAGCTGCTCAGATGAGTGCTACCACTTAGTATGTCCTTCAAGTTCAATGTTTCTATAGAAATATTTTGAGTTCTGGGAGAGATGAATGCTTACTGTTTGTGCAAGCATCAGTCTTTTTAGTGTTAAATGGTATACTTTCTAACCACGAGAGTAATGAAGTTATAAAGCTTTATAAAGACGTATAATTCGAAGTACAGAATCATGAAAACTCCAAACTATTAAGAAGGAGATTGATTATATACAAAAAAGGCTTTATAATGTGACATCTGAAATATCAGGGAACCAGACTGAAGGAGTCTGGCAGTTTCTTTTTAGCCTTACGTACCTATTCTAGAAGGGATGACAGGGCATTCTAATAAAACTGGCCAAAATCAGTCACATTAGATACGGGATATTCTGTCAGTATTAACTACTCAAATGACTTGTCAGAAAAAGATGTGGCTGTGGGTTACAATGCATTAATTTTAGCTGGGCTTAATTCAGAGCCATTAGCTTCGGTGGTAGTGGCTGACATTCAGCTATACTGCAGCTTGGATCACTGGTCCAGTACCTACCACTGAGTTTGTAATGGACAGCTGAAAACAAAAATCTAAATAAAATTATGGTAGTGATCTCCCTAGAAGAGTGTATATTGCTGAAAGGAAGGTTGGGAGAAGTTTTTCTTTTGCATGTGCTGAAAACACAAAATCAGATTTATAATATTGCATAAAAAAAACAGCTCTAGAGCCATGAGCTTTATGAGCAACTTTGTAAAACAAATGCATTTTTTACCAGTTTTTTTTGAAGTCTCTCATGTGGCTTTTTAGATCATTTCATACATCTCATATCCTTTTGCTTTTAAAAAATTTAAGATAATTTCTAAATCAGTATCTTTATTTAATACGCCTACTTCATGCATGCACATGCACTTTGATTTTTTCATGCTTCTTGCTTTATTTAATCACAAAATGTCTCACCTTTCCCTCATTTTTAAAAAGTTTCTGTCTTCAGTAGGAGCTACTTCCCTATTATATTTCCATTTTGCAACACAAATTACTCGGGCTTTAGACCCTGATAGGATAGATTTTTTAAAACGAGAAAGTTGGTTTTATTGTTGCCAATTGTTTTTACATTCTTCTTTTTAACAAAAAGCAATTAACATGCTTATGTTCTAATCACAGAATCACAGAATGGTAGGGGTTGGAAGGGACCTTCGGAAATCATCTAGTCCAACCCCCTGCTAAAGCAGGGTCACCTACGGCAGGTTGGACAGGAATGCATCCAGGCGGGTTTTGAATGTCTCCAGAGAAGGAGACTCTACAACCTCTCTGGGCAGCCTGTTCCAGTGCTCCACTACCCTCAAAGTAAAGAAGTTTTTCCTTATGTTGAGATAGAATTTCCAGTTTGTGCTCATTGCCCTTGTCCCATTGCTGGGCACCATGGAAAAGAGTCTGGCCCCATCCTCTTGGCACCTGCCCTTTAGATATTTAAAAGCATTGATGAGATCCCCTCTCAGTCTTTTCTTCTGCAGGCTAAACAGACTCAGGTTTCTCAGCCTTTCCTCATAACAGAGGTGCTCCAGTCCCTCGATCATCTTCGTAGTCCACCACTGGACTCTCTCCAATAGTTCCTTGTCTTTCTTGAACCGGGCAGCCCAGAACTGGACACGGTACTCCAGATGTGGCCTCACCAGGGCAGAGTAGAGAGGGAGGATGACATCCCTTGACCTGCTAGCCACACTCTTTGTAGTCCACCCCAGGATGCCATTGGCCTTGTCGGCCACAAGGGCACATTGCTGGCTCATGGTCAACTTGTCCACCAGGACTACTAGGTCCTTCTCCATAGAAGAAATCTTTTAGATAACAGCAATCACAAAGGTAGAGATGAGAACTAAAGAAGTTTTAGTCTTGAGATAAAAGTTTAGGGAAGTCAAAAAGGCCTGTTCTAACAAAAAGTTTTAGATAAACTTAGTGCTATCCTGATACATTCCAGTTTATAGTTGTTGATGTACTTTTATATATGTGTGCAAAAACCTTTTGAAATAACTTTAATTACATACTCACTGAAAAGAAAGAAATCCTGTCTTTTCAGTATAGGTTCTTATCAGAATACCAGATGTGAGCACTATCAAATATGTTTCATTTTTTCATTTTGTTTAAATAAAAAATTCTGAAATTAAATTTATTAAAAAACTTAATCCTACATTTAAAGTCCAAGTTGATAGGAAATGAAATAACTTTTTTAACCTCTTCCTGAATTTCTAGCTCAAATAGAGAGGTTATCAGAAACCACAGCTGTGTATGAATGGGTTACCAAGGGTTTGCTAGTACAGGAGAGGAGAAGTAGGAAGGAAGAAAAGAACTGCCTGAGAGCAGAAGCTCACATAAGGAATGAAAGTGGAGCTGCGATAAAATCTAAACAGAATTCTACTGTGCCAGGAGCTGAAACTACCAAATATCTTGGGTTATAACCTGTTTAATTACATTTCTGAACAGAGGTTTAGTAAATCTCTATACTGATATATGTGGATGCTGAGCTGTTGTAAGCTCTTGATGTTTCAGATTTATCTTTCCCCAGTTGCCCATGTAGTGATATGCAGTGACCTTCCTGTCTTATCCAGTTCTTGGTGGCTCGATAATGGCAAGACTTAATTAGCTTGGATAATCTCTACCAAAGAGAGAGTGATTTATTTATGGATTGCCAGTGAAAGTTATTATAAGTGAAAATAGCCAGTTTGTAGCTTTACAAAGAGCAGTCCACCTTACATGTAGATTAAAATAATAAGTTGTGATTATCAGATAGTATACAATCAATAACAGATTCACTGTGGTTAATTGGCACAGAGTGTACATCATTAATATAGCACGATTAACATAGCAGCACAAAGTTTTCAGATCCCAAGAAGCTAGGTGTTTTGTTTATTTGCCCCAGGAGAGGGGTGCAAGCAGGTGATAGGCAATAATTGAGTGAACTGGAAGAGACAAAATCAGATGAAACCTACTTACAAAGGCACTGTGGGTTTGTGTCTTCATCCAATAGGCACATCAAGTGAGAAAGCCCAGCAACTCAGAGGCAAGTGAAAGCACATCTATTTCTTTCTTTATTTTTAAATGAAAGGGAACAGTCACAAGGCAGCAAGTTAATTCTTCATAGATTTCTTTTTGAAATAAAAAAGTAAAAAAATGTTGGGTTTCCAAAGAAATCACACAAGTAATTAGCATGGATGTTGTTATGAAGATAGCTGCTGGAAAAATCTATTTCAAGGAGCTTCTAATCAGTCTTTTTACCAGAATACCATTTGAACTAGTTTCAGACACTACTTACTTTCTTTTTAGCTTACAATCCTTCCCTTCTGCATTCAAATTGCTCATAGCAGACTAATGACAGATCGGCCCTTAAAGGCATCAAAGGTATTTGTTTTTCCTCCTGAAACCCACAATCAGGCACTTGGCATTAGTGGCTATATCATACCAAGCTAATTAAAAATAACAGGCATAATTTTGCATCCCCTGTACAAAGATAGAAGAGAGCTAAATCCAGAAAAATGACAGGATGTATGTGCAGTACCTGATGAGTTTTTCTTCTTTTGTCTAATTCTTTATTCTGCTTTGTTTTGCTTCCTTATGCAATCAGTATTAGACAAGAAGCTAGAAGAGCTGGAAATAGATCGAAAGCTTGTACTATTGATACTGCAGCAAGTTTTGTTGTTGATTTAAATGGGAGCAAACTCAAGCCTTTGGTATCGCTCCTAAGAGTCAAGACTAGAATTTTATTCGGACAGACGCTGAACAGGTCTTATGATATATTCTGAAAGAGCTCAGGGATTTACAGACATTTTCAGATGTCTTCAGGCACAGATTTCTCAAGCAGTGCCAGGCAGCAGTATTGCGATGCTCTGACAGTATAAACAGTCACAGGCATTTGACACAAAGTCATTTCTGTCATTTGCAGGATGTTTAGAAGTAGCAGCATTGAGATTTTTTTAACACTCAATTTAAATGCTCGATTTTTTAAAAAATGTAAGCAGTATATGCTTACACATGTGAAAATGCCAATTCACTATTTTTAAAGTTATCTCCATTAGCTGATATAAGGTTTAAATTATGTAAGTGTATAATATTTTCTCCATTCTATTGAAGGATGCTTAGGAACAAATGAGGAACTACCGACTACGATACTTAAAACTCCTTCTATTTTTATTCAGAGAAGCCAGAAAAGTTGCAATGGTGAAAGCATAATTATAAATGTCTTTTTTTCTCTTTTTGTCTCATTTAGATATCAGCATGAATCAATTCCAAGTGCACTGGTTACTGGAGTCCTGTGCGCATAATGACACCAAAGGACTTGGGAAAGTAACTGAGCTGACTTACGTAAGTCTCCACTCAGCCTTATGCTTGTCTCTGGAAAGCTGCTAAGCAGCAAAAGAAAGGGTGGTTCTGTAACAACACAGTATCCTTTATACCATGTTTCATAGATAAGTAAGAATGTTTCTTTTTTTATGTTCCTCTCTGGCAAAATCATAGAATCATGGAATCGTCTAGGTTGGAAGGGACCTTTAAGATCATCAAGTCCAACCATCAACCTGACACTGCCAAAACCACTACTAAACCATGTCCCCAAGCACCACACCGACAAGTCTTTTAAATACCTCCAGGGGTGGCGATTCCACCACTTCCCTGGGGAGCCTGTTCCAATGTTTGATAACACTTTCAGTGAAGAAATTTTTCCTAATATCCAATCTAAACCTCCTCTGGCATAACTTGAGGCCATTTTCTCTTGTCGTATCATTTGTTAATTGGGAGAAGAGGTTGACCCCCACCTCTCTCCAACCTCCTTTCAGGTAGCTGTAGAGAGCGATAAGGTCTCCCCTCAGCCTCCTTTTCTCCAGGCTAAACAACTCCAGTTCCCTCAGACACTGGACTATTTTGGGTTTTGTTGTTGAGGTTTTGTTTAAGCCACGCTAGGCTAAAGTCTTTTTTTTTTTTTTTTTGTCGGTGTTATTCAGAAAACAAGAGTAGGCAAACAAACTTCTTAGCTAAGTGCTTATATATTTCTACAGCATATAGAACATGGAGCTTTATCTATAATTAGTACCGTAGGACTCTAGCACAGTGCAAATACTGAACAGTAATAATAGTAATTAATGAACTAGGTTTTCTTTTAGACATGCAGGTGGGTTTCACAACCCTGAGGAGAATAACAGTATAAGAAAAAGGGACCGTAGGTGAAAAATATTAGACATTAAATCTGGAAGTCGGACAGATATCAGATAAGGAGAAAAGCTCTGTGTAAGTACATGTCCGCCCAAATATATATTGCAGTGGCAATTTTTTGTACTCAATTTGTTGACAATCTAGTGCCATCCATCTCTGTAACACATTATTTGAACAACACAGTAATGTGATTGGTGCAGAAGAATTGATTTAGTGGGTTATGGAGAATGGAAGAAATCACAATTCACCTTCTCTTCTTACCCTGACCTATACTACTGGATTAGTTCAATGGAGTTAATGGCATGTAAAAGTAGAGTAAATCAAACGACATCATTTCTCATATAGAAGGCTGTTAGCTTGTAAGATTTACTGCTTCATGGGGTCAGCAAAGCAAATATTAGAGGTGGATTAAAAAAATGATTGTGACATCATGTTATCATCAGTCCCAATATTTCAAGTTATGCACGTCGCAGATAGGAGAAAGTTAACATTGAAGTTTATTTCCACTAGAGGTCAGAAAAGACTCTTCGTACATCTGCCCAAATGCATTGTGGGATTAGTTAATTTATTTCCTCTCAATCATTTTATGGTAATTGGTCCAATCTACTTTGGAAAACTGTGTTTCTTTTGAGGAAGAAAATAATTGCAAGCAAAGAGAATAAAGTCGATGCTACAAAAGATTTGGTTCTGGATATGATAGGTCAGGGTGGATAAAGGCCTTACGTTTCCAGTGTTGAGCATTTAGGCCCTGTCATAATAAATAAAAATAGTTGTCACAACTTTAAGCAGGAGTCAAGCCTACTAGAGCACTGTACGAACAGGTGGAAGGCGAGGAGTCAAGTCTGTTCTCAGCCGAATCTCTGTATCCCATCGAAAATGACCTTCCAAGTGAAGGTTAGACTAATTCAGTTTGGGATTAACAATAAAGGGAGTTATGCAGAAGAATGCTGGAAATTAGTGATTCTGACAGGAAGTAGATATCTAAAAGGCAGTGAAAGACTTCTGACGTTAGCCAGTAAGGTATTAATGGACATTTTCCCATAAAAAAAACCACCACCACACACACATTTTTTTCTCATATATGACTTGTGCTAAAGCTTTCTGGCTGTGATTTTCAAAAGTGCTTTAAACAACAGTAAGAATTTAGCAGGACACTTTGTGTAAAGTTTTCTTCTCCCGTCATTGCCTTTAAACAGAGAATTGTGCTTTTCAGTTCAGCTGTGGAGCTTTTCTTCCTGATAAGGTAGAAGCAGTTAAGGTACTAAAGTGGAAGGAAATGGATCCATAATGCCATGATGGACTTTGAATGCACTTTTAAAAAGTTGAATGTAGATGTAGCCTGTCATTTACGGCAGCTTAACTCAGCTTTCTTACATTTATTTAATTCGATTAACATTTACATCCTCACATTGCTACCCCCATGTCACAGAGACTGTTCTAAATGTTAGAAGCCAGTTGCTTTGATGCAGCGAGGTGAAGGAACTCCGTAGAATTGAAGGACATATCCAAATACCACACTAATATATTTTGCTACTGAAAATAATTATAACATAGGCAATGTTTGCTTGTTTGCTTTGTTCTCTGAGTAGAAGCCATGATGACACGTGTTAAACATATCAGGAAAATATTTTATTGGAGAAAACTTTTCATCTTGTGCCTACCTTATTCTTCAACTTTTTTTTTTTTTTTTGAGAAGTCTATTTGCAACATGTGATCTTTTTGTTTTTCTTCTAGGAAAACTACATGATTCTGAAGGACCTGTCATTTTCATGCAAATATAAAGTAACTGTTTTGCCTGCAAAATCTAAAGGTCGTTTTAAGGCTGAGAGTATTTTCTTTGTTACCCCACCTTGCTCTGCATTTAAAGAAAAAAACCACAAGCACATTAATTGTCCGGCTGAAGGAGGTAAGTCATGATCTGGAGAAGTAGCCAAATAGTTTCAAATGCATTCATAATCACCAGAAAGTGTCTTTAAAAACAATTTTAAAGTGGGAAATGAAATATCCAGAACAATTAAAACCACAACTAATGCATATGTGAAAATTTCACTAAAAGACTATACTAAAATATAGATTTTGGCTACCGCGTTACTGTTTTGTCAATTAGGTGATAATTTGGACTGTTTGTAAATGTATGATGACATTTGTTATTAAACAGTTTTTATTTTTGTAAGAAGGAACAGTTTTCCATTTATATTCATTATATTGACAGATGATTACTGTAAGCATAATTACACTGGCATAACCCATCTTTTGAATGTTTTCCTGTTGATGCAAGCTGCTTTTTCAGTTTGATATTGTTTAGGTTAATTCTTGTCTCAAATAACAAATAAAGGAAGTCTTATACCTTTTACAGTGTTGCCACAACAGTGGGTATAGCTAGAGGGTTATGGAATATTGCAGAATCGTGAAGATGTTGGCTGATATGGAGCCCTGGGGTCAGCTAGTCCATCCGCTCGCTTGAACCAGGGCTGTTGTCAGCACTAGGTCAGGTCAACCATGGCTTTGCACAGCCGTGTCTGGAAACCTCTCTCTTCAGCTAGAGGGTGGACCTGCCACTTTGCGTCCCTGCTGTCCCCAAGGATACTCCTGTGCTTCATGGGTCACCTCAGAGTCCTGCTGGCCACCATTGCCATTTCCTGACCGCCCCTCCTGACAGTTTCCAGCCTTGCAACCTTATTCCTGGGCAACTGCAACTCAAGGCATACGTTTCCCCTAATCGGAGTGCCCCTGTTAACTTGTGCTACAGTTTTAGAGCATGAATTTTACTTTTTTCCTGCTTCATGGAGTTCTGTGCCATCCTGTGGGTTTTCTTGTGGTCCCAAAATTGAAAACCGGAGCTCAGGTATTCTGAAATACAGAGAAGCAGCAGGAGGATTGCCTGTGAATGAGGCACTTAAGCCTTTACATGCCATAGGCTTTCCTTTCTGTTGCCTGCAGCTGACAGGATTTGATTCGAAGTTTAAATTTGGCACAAAATGCTAATGGAATATATCAAAGATAGGCTTTGATTAACACTGAAAATGCAATGACAGAAAGCTGGCAAGATCCTGGGTAACACTAGAAAGAGAGCTCTGTCTGACCTTGATTTGTGGAACTAAATTAACATTATTGAACTTTATCTCTCAAAGTTTAGCTTATCTTTTTGCTTTCCAAATTTATAGTGCCAGTTCTACCCAAAGTGTTGGCCAAACCCGAGAATCTATCTGCGTCTTTCATTGTCCAGGAAGGTAACATCACTGGTCATTTTTCCTGGAAGATATCTAAGGCAGACCTTCACCAGCCCATGACAGGGTTTCAAGTCACTTGGGCAGAAGTAACCACAGAAAGCCGGCAGAACAGCTTACCCAACAGCATCATTTCGCAGTCACAGATACTGCCAGCAGTAAGTTGTTTGTTACTTTCCTTTGCTAGCAGCTTCGTAAGTGTGCGCGTATGTGGCCTATTTTTAATGTTTGGTGGTGATGCAGATGTCACACATAGCGTTCTCTGGCTCTGCAGGCAAGTCAGAGCAGGAAGTGCTTAATTTTTCCTCCTTGCTGGAGAAACAAAGCACAGCTACTCTTCTTGATGACACATCAAACATTTTGATGTTCCCAATTGTCAAATTAGCAACCATTGTCTGAGAAATGCCTGAAGGGAGGAAAAGATCATCTGTGTGGCAATAGATAGTTTTTATATTCTTTTGATGATCAGGCTATTCAACTTGACGGTTACTATAGTTTTATTAATTATTTGATGTCCAAGTTGATGGATTTAAGAGAATTTTCTCTTCCCTTGAGTCACTCATCGCTCTAAGAAAAATAAAAATCACTTCCCCCTCTGCCAGTACAGTATGCACCATTGTCCGACAGACAAATAATTTAAAGTAGAACTAGATCTCCCTCTTTACTGGAAGTGTGAAAATTAACAAGGTGAATTCTTCCCCCTATTTGCTTTAAGATGGCCTTTGCTATTTCATTTCCTCCTCTGGCAGAGGTAGGTGAAGACCACTTCATTCAGACTGTGTTGCCAGGTACACCAAAGTCATCAAAGGGCTTATGCAGTTGGCCTTGATCCAAAGGCAGCTAAAAACGTTGGGAATCTTTTCTTTCACTTCAGGGAAGTGAATCAGGCAATTGTGTCTAGAGCAGAGCTGGCTGAAAATCTTTTCACAGCATTTGTTTCATCAAAGAATGCGTAAAATGTTTTGTTGGACACATCTTACATTTAACGCGCTTTCCACAAATCCAAGGCAAGGTTCTCACCATTCCGTCTTAATTCTGAGCAGACTGCCCTAAGGCTAGGTCACCCGTGTTTCAAAGCCTGTTGTTATGGAGGAGAGCAACAAATTTGGCCACGGATGCTTTAAAACTATGGAGCAAGCTACCACGCAATGTGTGGAGCTCTTTTGTTACAGCGCGGTGTGATGTGCAGCAATTCACTCAAAGCTCGACCCACAGTCCAGAGCAGAAGGATGGAGCAGATACAGCCTTGGTCTCTTCAGCAGGACACGTTGCAAGATTACCTGAAGTGGTTACTCACTCACAAACCTTTGGCTGCAAACAACTCCTTCCACACAATGATAAGCAAAGTTTCAGAACATGAGATGTTACTTTTCACTTCAGTTTCCATCTTTTTTATTAGGAGCAGGTGTATGTTTTATTCAGAATTTCTATTCCTTTTTTTAAGCTTTTGGTTCAGTTAGGTCTGAAATATATATAAAGTTTTATTTAAAACACTCCTTTGTATTGTGTTATGCTTTCATTTTTAATCTTTGTTTATCTTTGAGTCTGGAGATTCCTTTTATTTAATTATTTATCACTATGTGTATCTGTCTATTTATGGCAACTGGTTAAGAAAACTCTGGTTTGAGCTGGAACAGTATCTCCTACCTCTCAGAAAGCATGAGAATGTAGGGTATTTTACCGTGAGAATCATTGACTCATTCTCATTGGTAGCCTCTGACTGACAAAAATTTAGTATTTACATAATGGGGGCTGAAACCCACAGGTCCCAGCTGCTGGGGGAGCACCTGAATGGGCAGAGTGAGTGTATGAATGTGATGTGCGCACTCCTCTCTCTTGCCTACCTGTTCAGCATGTTATACGAGGTGGAACAGCTTCAGCAGCATCTATTCAGAGCAGCCCCATCTCAGAATATGTGCTAAGTTGGCAGTAATACTAGACGTTTCCCCCTACCTTTTTTCTTTCTCCTTTCCCCTTTACTGTCTGCTCTGGCAGTAACAGCAAATTATCAGTTGTTCCCACAGCCCACTGAGGTTCCCCCACATGGCACAGGGTGCAGTGCCAGCCGGAGGAACTTGCCCTGCAAATTCCTGGCTGGCCCAGCCTGGCTGGTGGCAGGAGGACACTGTGCCTGCACTGTCCGGCATCACTGCCCTGCTGTCCCCTTCCCAGGACTGGTCCTTTTCAGCTTAGAATAAAGTGACTCAGGACTTTTGATTTCTAAATGCTCTTTAGTCTTTAGTCAGACATATTCCCATTTGGGAGCATTTATAAACTTACTCTGAAATTATTTTTCACAGGTGTAAGTGACCACGCAAGGTATGGAGCAGTGAAAATTGGGGCCATCATGCCAAATATGGCATTAAGAACAGAAGGGCAGATTCTCATGGTGTAATTGGTACAAGTATGCCAAAATCTGTGTAGCCACACTTATTTTCACTAGCTGCAGCAGGGAGCCAGACCTATGAATTGCCATGAATTAACTTACCAATTAGTGGAATTCACAGAAAGATCCCAAATAAAAACAAGATTACATGATGAACGTATTTGTTAAAAAGAATTATTAGGGAGTTAAAAATGTTTTATTTTTTTTTTAATGATCAGCGCGTCATCCATTTTCAAGAACAGTGAGGAACAACTTGGACCTCTTACACATGAAACCATAACATTATGGTAAAAAAATATGCTCAAAGGCAATGGCAAGCAAAAAGTTCAAAACAAACCCTCTGCACAAAGTGATGCATACATTAAACCCTTTTGATAGGATTCTAAGAAAATAATTTGTGGATGCTGAGAGTGGCAGAACCTGTTTAAACCACTGTTTTGTGTGAGTAGATTAACTGCGTTTTGTTTTTAGATACTCTGAGAATTAATGTGATTGATTTATTTTTAGGATCATTATGTACTTACTGTGCCCAATCTGAGGCCATCGATGCTGTACCGCTTGGAAGTTCAAGTGCTGACAACTGGTGGGGAAGGGCCAGCTACGATAAAATCGTTCCGAACACCCGACCTGCCTCCATTTTCACCCCACAGTAAGTAGTACCCCATTTTGACATGTGGTTACGTGTTACAGAACTTCAGTCCTCCACATGTAAACAGTTAGCTCAAGCCTTAGAGGAACCTTAGAGGAACCTTAGAGGAAGTTCCTAAGTTCCTTAGAGGAACCAAGCCTATTGGTTCCAGTAGCATTCCATGGATTTAAGACACATGAAAATACTGGGGTTTTCCCCCCCATAACTGCCTATCAGCAACGGTGAAAGCAAATGCAGTCTTCCTCTCATTCAGTTTCTGTGATCTGACATTTGCCGTTCATCCCACCACAGCTCTTTGGCTTATGCCTGTAGCACTTGGGATTCAAAGATGGTCTCTCCTCCAAGTACTACCTAGGCCTGGGATTGCTGAGCTTTCAAGATCAGATTTTTCTGGGTGCATTCAGTGCGACATGGCTAGAGCCTGATCATATTTCTAAAATAGTGCAAACCTCTTAATGGCCATTTCCAGCATTTTATAAGTTTCTGAAAAGTACAACTCAATGTTGCAAAGCTCAACAAAAACCATAATGAATTAGTCCAAGATTCGTCTGCTTGAATCCTTTTGTCCTTTCGCAGTCACTGAAGCTGTCTGGACTGAACATGCACATAGTTGTCAGCACAGGCATTTCACTTACAAGCTGAAGGATTGCCAGCTGAAGGCCCTGTGAAGACTTTTTAGTACAGATAAATGATGGTGTTACATATTCAGGGTCTGATGTGTGCACATTTTCCTATTCTTTTGTTTAGGACCTCATCTGAAGCAACATCATCCGCATCACTACAAGCCACCCCCAGAGAAATACTAGACTGTTTCAGATGATTATGCAAATAACTGAGAGAAAAACTGAGCTCCCAAATGGAGGCTAGGAAAAGGCACATCTGTAGGAGCAATGAACCCGGTTTTCCAGTGGAAGTTACCATCCTGTACAATCTGTATCTACTTCTCTGTAGTTTAGCCATGCTGAATTATAGTTGCACCAAGGCCAGGATGAAACATACAGCAAGTATCATTTGAGTACCACCGCTATACAGCAAAATGAAGATTGCATCCCGCTCAACACCTGTGAGAAAATCAAAAGTGTGTTCATTATAATGTTTTTGTATTTCTATGTTTAAAATAGATTGAAAGAGTGCAGTGTATACAGCTTTTTCTCTTAGTGACTTCAATGTTAGTGTTTGCAAGATTGTCCTGTGATGTATATACTTTTGAACACTGGAGGCCATGTTCTCAACAGTGTGCTTAAGTGATCTGTTTTACTTACAGCTCTGCCTGTCACCAGTTCAAGCCCTAGTGTATTTTGCTGTCAAAGAAGATCTCCGTATGTTTGAAATAAGGACATAAGTAAAATAAATACCAGTAGCAGAAACTCTAAAATAGGCGGTATTTGATAATTGCAGTATCACCACGGAGCAGAATGATGATACGTTCCTATCAACCATCTGTTCTGAAATGGTAATGTTTTAGCATGTAGATCTTCTATTAACATGGTTAATAGCTAAAAAATATCCAGGGTAGATGTACCATTGCAAAGAAGCAAATGGCAATTAATAGAACCATTGAAAATCTATGGCAATTAATACAGTTAATTGATAGGGCCTGGAAGAATGAGTTTTAAAATCCCACTTATAATTTTTTGGTGTATAATATTTCAAGATCTAGTAATATGTTGAAAAGAAAAACCAATTTTCTAGTTAAAAAACTGAAGAGTTAACACGAACATTTTAGAAATTGAAATTCTGAGGCACATTTATTATTCAAGTAGCCGTAGAGCTACTTTTTGGCTTGGCTTTTGATGCATGTATCTCTTTTCCCCGTGGATCTTTTGAACAGAAGGATGGATGTATTGGCTCCGTGCTATTCTGCTTACAGAAAGAATTATGTGACAATATTCTGGCATCTGGAAAACATTGGCTTATAGTTTATTTGAATGCATTTTTCAAATTTAGACAGAAGGGTGCCCTTTTTAACCATAAGGGAATTCATATTGCCTTATTGTGCAATATAAACTGTCTAGAGTAATTTGCCACACAGAGAGACATCCTTCGATAGTAAACAGAAACTGCTTGGATTTATTACTGAGAGGGTGGAAAGTATCTGCCAATAAACGTCCGTACAAATACTCATAATCAGCTTCTCATGTTCAAGATGTTCAAAGTGATCCTGCATTCTTTGGCACGGTTTCCATTGCTCCCTGAACCATCATATGATGAGGCTAATGGAGTTCAAGTGCTTAGTAGTCAAACTTGACAAGGTGGCCACTTTTTCTACCAGCAGATGCTACAGACTCACCTGTACTTCATATTTGCCTGAGATACTCAGTGTTAGGAGCTCAGGCGTTACTGGTAAATATATTTTCCTGCTCTTGATGACAAACTGTTTTGCGGAAAGCAACTATGGAGAAAAGAAATACATACCTGAAACTGATGATCAGAGTTATGTTTATCATAGTAGAGCATTCACAAAATATTCAAATACAGTTTGTCTATACTGAAGTTTCTAGTTTTGTGTTTCATCTGGGTTGATACCACAGGGGGTGAAGGAAATGGAATTAATTTCTGATCACTTGCTCATTCCAGTTTTCCTACATTTCTACCTTCGGTTTTAAAGGGCTCTTTTTTGCCATTCTCTTTCTACTTTACTTGTTGTCTTTTTTGATATGTGCTCAGTAACCAAGATCTTTTCCAGAAAATTTCTATTGCTACATGGTTTGGGCCTTTAACAGTAGTTTTAAAAATTTTAAAGGCTATGGCGCTTTTAATTCCTTCCTCTATCCTTCTGTCATCTCCCCTTTTCCAAAATACATTAGCAAATAAACAGATGAATTCTTCTTCATAAAATCTGTAGTTTAAAGTTTTATTTTCAGTTTTGGTAGAAGGCCAGAGTCTCAGAGACTTTTGTCAGGATGGAAGCCTTTTGTGTGTACAAATTTTTACCAAGAAAACACAATTTGAATCAGAAAGGTGTACAGCACTGCTTCGGTATTTAGATTGCACAGGGCATCGATAAGGGTAGAAGTGATCTCCGTCGTGTTTGCTGAGAGCAGGAGTCAGCGGGATCGGGGAAAGTAATTACCTCAGGCTTCTCTGAAAACTTCTGTCCAAACCCTTCAATCACAGTCTATTCTAGTTATGCGGGAGCAAATCTGTAGTGACTTGATTAATGTTAATGAAATTATGTTTCATTCATAGTGACATGGTAAAGCATAGAACATGGATGTCGTTCTTTATTACAGTGATGCCAAATCTGGCTTGGAGATAAACTGGAAGTTAGCAGCCTGAATGATCATAGCCTTAGCCTTGGTTCCTGAGGGGAAGCCTCATTCTTCTGAAATGAGTCAAAATAGATACCATTTGCTGATGCCAGTCTCTTTGAAACGTTCAACTTTTAAAAGTAACAATGTACTTTTGAAGAACATGTAGGAGTTTTCCCTTTTAAAGTAGATTCTGGAAATAAAAATTTAAAAAAAGTGGATAAAGTAGAATTGTACTGAACAAGTGTATTATGTGGAGTTCATTAAGATGTAAATTATTTTTTTTCCTTCTACAAATCACCTTATCAACTTATCTTTCAAGTCACCCTCCAAACCAAAAATGAAAAATACATGGTCAACAAAGCTCGTACACGGATGTTAAATTCCCTACTATGAGTATTCCTGATTATTCTTTGAATTTAGCAGTACAGATTTGAAGTTGTTAGTGCCTAATTCATAAAGCCTTGTTTGCTGAGTTGTACAGGGTATTGCCCTAATTTACTAGCATAAGCCACATTAAGCATTTAATTCATCAATAGAGTTGTAATTCATTACTTGGTTCACCAGTTAAAGTTTTATTTTCTGTAATGATGATGTGTAATACAGAGGTAATATAGGTATTGGGATTTTTTTAGATACTCTGCACCTTTACACTAATGTATTATTTGCTATGTACGATTCTGATGGTTTTGTCAGTTGACTTCAAGAAGCATTTTGTTTATCTTTATTTCTTAAAGGAGAATTGTAAAATTATGCCATTTTTGCCAACTGCTTTGTTAAATGGATTTTTTTTCTGTTCATCAGTGATTTTTGTTTAAGAAGAGTATGGTTTATTCTTGTTATATCTTTTTTTGACCATTTTTGAGTTTTTTATAAAGCAGGAAAAGTTCAAATAAGACAGAGCTTGTGATGTACTACTATGTGTATCAACTTGAATACTCATTAAGAAAATAGCACATAGACAATAAATAAGAGGTCTGATTTCTGAAATGCTGTACATCCTCAACTTAGTGGCTTCAGAAAGAGCTGAGGATATGGTGTCACAATGCTAACATTGACATTAATGTTTGGCATGATCACACACAAAATCAAAGATACATTCATTGCTAATGTGAATACGATTTTTACCATTGGCATTAGCAGAACTGTACAGAAACCCAAATATCGGGTCAATTTGTTCCACAATACTTTCATCTCCATGCTCCCAACAGGAGTCAGGGAGTTTCAGATAAGCAAGCCCTGATTCAGGAAGGTATGCAGAAGAGGAAACTTCCATATGCTCAAAAGAAATCAATGGGATGGAAGTAAACATTTGCAGCTAAGAGTGAGCTTTAGTGATGTCTCAAATAAAGAATGGATGTCAAAATTTTCTTGAATACTGTCTTAAATCAGGGCCTTAGAGAACGAAGTATGGGACCCAGACAGTTCTAAATTCTGTGTACAACACCATAAAAAAAATATTTTTGTCTTGTGTATATGTAAATGTAGTTGTGATATTGACTTATTTATTAATTCATTTTCTTATACCATGTGCCAAGTATATTCCTACCCTTTTGATCAGTACCTGTGAACATCAATTACTAAAAATAATGTTATGCAAACTTGTGCATTGTAACCAGGAATATGATGCTAATAAGCTGTTGCATGTAGTTTTAAATAATTAAGAAAACCCTTTATTTAAAAAATGTAAATGAATACCTGCAGATGTTGATGATTATATATGGTTTTGCATGCCAAAACTCATTGTTCAGTTGTGGGCATGAAATGTAACGACTGTATTACCTCTACTGAATATATTAGTAAGTTACAATTTACAAAGTAATTAACAGAGCTCTATATGTAAAATTTTTCCTTTTTACTTAATTATATTGTAGTAGAGGTAACAGAACTGCTTCTCTGTTACCCAAATTGGCTGTAGAAATTATGTTCCTATAACACTCATTTAAAGTCAATATTTATTTATGTATGTAATACAAAAAGATTGGTCTTATGTGTCTGTCCTGTTATCTAGAGAAAAAAAATACACTTCTTGTAAAAAATAATTTGTAAAAAAATGTAAATGTAAATAGAGTTTGATTTCTTTTACGCATTATTTTCATGTTTAGAATTTGTACATACTGTTTAGGAAATAAACTATCCTACATTGACATCTTGCTACATTATCTCCTCCATACAGAATTTATAACTTTGTTTTTCTTAAGTTGAAGACATAGAGTCATCTAAGAAAAATCAGTGTCATACCAAGTACCTTTGCTACATATATGTTTCATTGCATATAAAGTCATACCATTTTATCCTCTGTTTACTACAGCATTTTGGGTTTTTTTAGAATGATCAAAATAATCTAAAAATAAATGTAGATATCATTTCAGTCTTTTACATTGAAAGCAATCCTTGAAGTAAAAAACTGGGCTCAAGAACTTGCCGTCCCTTTCTCTGTTTTAATGGAACAGTTCACAGTGAAGATTTGTTCACCATTTATAATACTAACAAAATAATTAAAATGTTGCTGGACCTATTTCAGTGGCCTGATCCTGCAAGTCAAGATTTTCATGACTGAAAATCATGGTGAAATCTATGTATACACCAGATTTGGAGTATTTTCTATTTTAAAGTGCAGTATCCCATGATTTAAATTCTATATTTTTAATAAATATGAATATCTGTCTCAGTACAAACATTTAACTGTTTCAAGTTGTCATACTTGTACTACCATCCTCAGATGCAATAGCTATAATCTGGGGATGCACCTTTGACTCAGTCTTGACTT